AATAACCCCAAAAATACCAAATACTCCAAATACTGTGCTATGGCATGTGCACCTGATCTCATGTTCCAGACTGAGGCAACCTACTTATTTTGTATTGGCCATGATATCTGATCTTGCCTAGCAGAAAACATCTCAATACTTTTTTTTTTTTTTTTTTTTTTTTAAGCAAAAATAAGCGAAAATGCTTCCCTAGAGTTGCTGAAAATATTTTTAAATGGATGCACCAACTCACAGTCAAAGCTCATGATTACACCTGTAGTGATTTTAATGCCAGTTTTAAAAACAGATGAATATGTAAAAGCATAAGCCAAGCTAAATTTAGGGACGTGAGATCTATCACAAGTGTGCAACGACATCATCAGTTTACTTAATCACCTTTCACCTTGTTTGTAAAGGCTGAAATGCCAACATATTCATAGAATCATAGAATAACAGAATGGCCTGGGTTGAAAAGGAGCACACTGCTCATCCAGTTCCAACCCCCTGCTATGTGCAGGTCACCAACCAGCAGACCAGGCTGCCCAGAGCCACATCCAGCCTGGCCTTGAATGCCTGCAGGGATGGGGCATCCACAGCCTCCTTGGGCAACCTGTTCCAGTGTGTTACCACCCTCTGGGTGAAAAACTTCCTCCTAATATCCAACCTAAACCTCCCCTGTCTCGGTTTAAAACCATTCCCCCTTGTCCTATCACCATCCACCCTCGTAAACAGCTGTTCCCCTCCTGTTTATACGCTTCCTTCAAGTACTGGAAGGCCACAATGAGGTCTCCCCAGAGCCTTCTCTTCTCCAAGCTAAACAAGCCCAGTTCCCTCAACTCCCAGCTATGCACAGGACCACCCAAAATGCAAAGCCAGTGTCTGAGAGCATTGTTCAAATGCTCCTTGAACTTCAGCTTGGGGCCGTGATCCCTGGGGAGCCTGTTCCATGCCTGACTACACTAGCAGTGAAGAACCTTTCCCTCACCCCCAGCTGCCCCTCCTCCTGACACAGCTCCATGCTGTTCCCTCAGCCCTGTCACTGTCACAGAGAGCAGAGCTCAGCGCTGCCTGTCCACTCCCATGAGGCTCTCACACAGTTTCATGTCTTTCTTATACAGTGGCACCCAAACTGCCCACATTGCTGGAGGTGAGGCCCTTCCCTCACTGGGCTGGCAGTGGCCCTGATGTACAACCCCTGGGTACGGTTGGCCCTTTGGGCTGCGAGGGCATGCTGCTGGCTCACACTCAATTTGCCATCAACCAGCAACCCCAGATCCCTTTCCATGGTTCTGCTCTCTTGCCTTTTATCCTCAAGTAGGTGCGTAAGTCCGGGGCTGCCTCACCGCAGGTGCAGAATTTGGCACTTGCTCTTGTACAGTTTCATGCACTTGGTGGCTGCCCAGCCCTCACATTTGTCAAGATCTCTCTGCAAGGCCTCTCTGCCCTGGAGGGAGTGAACAGATCCTCCAGCTTAGTGTTGTCCTCAAACTTAGCATGCATCTGCGTCCTGCATCCAGACACCATCTCCAGACCAAGCCTTACCTTGACAGATTAAGCACTTGATCCTGTAGAGAGGAGTGTGATTTAAAAGGCTTAAAGAACATCACTGATTTTGTTAATTTGCTTTCTGAATCTCTAAAATATGAAATAAAATCGTAGGAACCATTATGCCATCAGCAAAATACACTTAGAGCTTTTTTCTAGTTGGACCTACAGAGCAGCCCCTGGGAGACAGCTGACATTGCAGAGCACCACCTGGATACACAGCTACTGCCTTGCAGAAGCCTTGCCATTGAAATCAAGGAGCATTTGAATGCAATGGAGAGAAACTGGGAGGAGATTGCTATTTTCTTTTGTTAACATTGCTTGGGAAACCAGAAGGGCCAGAGGGGGACCATGCAGGGAAGGGAAAGCAACTCCTAGGTGAGAACTGATCCCCTTTAAATAAAATTCACTTCCTTACTAAAGTTCAAACACTCGTGCCTCTGTGCAGGATCAGCAACAAGTGCTGGTCAGTGACATCTGCTCTGGTTGCTGCAGCCAGCCAGGCCTTGGGAGCCACACAGAGATGTCACTGTGATGACATGTGGGTCTCATGGTGACATTTGAGCATCTCTCAGTGGAACACCCAGACAGCTCTTGGATTTCACCTGCTGATTGGCAGGGCAAAAACTGGCTCATGACTGAAATACCTGTACCTGAAAACTAAACATTTTCTGTTTCTGATCCTGAGGAGCTGGTTGAGTCCTCAGGCTCTCTTCCTGATCTTCCAGGGCAGAATCAAGGAGCAGCCTGGGATGCTGCTGCAGCATGGATACTGAAAGAAAAGGACTCACTAACTTTTTCTGATGAAGAGGAAACCAAATGTTTACCTCACATTTCTTCTGAGGAGAGCAAAGACAGTATTGTGGTTTAACCTGGCAGGTCTTTCAGCACCATACAGTTATTTGTTCACTCCCCTCTTCCCAGTCGGGGGGAGAGAATTGAAAAAAAAAACAACCAAGTAGAACTCATGGGTTGAGAGAAAACTATTTACTAAGATACAGAAAAGGAAAAGGATAATAGTTATGACTATAAATGTATATAACAAGTGATGCACAAGCAATTGCACTCTACCTCCAAACCAGTGCTCAGTTAGCACCCTGAGCAGTGGAGGAGCCAGATGAGCTCCTACCTCCTTCAAAATTCCTTGTGTGTGTGATGAAATATGCTATGGAATATCCTTTTGGCCAGTTTAAGTCAGCTGTCCTAATCTGTTCCCTCACGGTTCCTTGGGCCCTTTGCTGAGAATGGCCTCGGCCCTGTACAGAACTGCTTAGCAGCAACTATAAACATCGGTGTGTTATCAACATTATTTTTCTCCTAGAACCAAAAACACAGCATCATACCACACACTCTGAAGAAAAATCCATCCCAGCTGAAACTAAGATAGCCAGTATCTCCTCAGTCCTCAGCTTTCCACAGAAATTCTGTGGCTGTTGAAAGTGACCAATTTAATATGATTTGGTGGGGTCATGCTGGAAACTATTTTGTCATCGATGAATAAATGTTTAAACTTGAAATAATGGTGAGGAACGGATATTTGAGAGTTTTTCAGTCTGAAAACACGTCTCCCACAGTATTCTCCTAGAGGAACTGGTAGCCCATGGCTTGGACAGGTACACTCTGCTGGAAGGCTGGGCCCAGAGAATGGTGGTGAATGGAGTTAAATCCAACTGGCAACCGGTCACGGGTGGTGTTCCCTAGGGGTCAATACTGGGGCCCGACCTGTTTAATATATTTACTGATGACCTAGGTGAGGGGATTGAGTGCACCTTCAGTAAGTTTGCAGATGACATCAAGTTGGCAGGAAGTGTTGATCTGCATGGGGGTAGGATGTTCCCTACCGTGGGATCTGGACAGGCTGGATCTCTGGGCTGAGGCCACTGGGATGAAATTCAACAAAAATCAAGTTCTGAGTCCTGCACTTTGGCCACAACAACCCCAGGCTATAGACTTGGGGCAGGGCATCTGCGTGGAAGAAACTGACCTGGGGCTGTTCATTGATGATTGGCTAAATATGAGCCAGCAGTGCAACGAGGAACAGGGAGTGATTGTCCCCCTGTACTCAGCACTAGTGAGGCTGCACCTTGAGTACTGTGCTCAGTGTCGGGTCACTCACTACAAGTAAGGCCTTGGAGCATGTCCAGAAGGGCAACAAAGCTGGTGAGGGGTTGGGAGCACAAGTCTTATGAGGATTGGCTGACAAAACTGGAATTGTTTAGTCTGGAGGAGACACAAGGGAGACCTTATTGCTCTCTACAACTACCTGAGAGGAGGTTGTGGTGAAGTGGAGGTTCGCTGCTTCTCCTGTGACAAGACTGGATTCTCCTAATGGCAGGACTAGAGGGACTGGCCTTGAGTTGTGCCAGTGGAGGTTCAGGTTGGACATTAGGAAAAATTTCTTCTCCAAAAGCATTGTGAAGTGCTGGAATGGGCTGCTCAGGGAGGTGTTCAAGAAACATTTAGATGTTGTATTAAAGGACATGGTTTAGTGGGTAAATATTGGTGGTAGGTGCATGGTTGGACTGGATGATCTTGGAGGTTGATGGTCTTGGAGGATGACCTTTGTAATTCTGTGATTCTATGACTCTATGAAAAGCTTCATCCATCAGCTTAATCTTATGGATTCAGCAAAATACACTATGATTGCAAAAGATCTCCCTCAGTTCTTGAATTTTCAGCAGAGGAAGAAGTACTTGCGGCTCATAGGAAGGTACATCATTTGTTCCACACATAAAGCAACTCTCACCATATTCTAGTGGGACAGATGGAAGTTCTAATAAAATAAAGCCTTAGTGATAGAGGAGAAGAGGATGACAGTGAAAGTTCTGATCTCCACTTCTTTCTCTGGATGTTTCTGGGTACTTTTACCCACAGACACCTGAGCAGCAGGCTCCTTGGGTCCTCCTCACCTCATCGCTTTCAATGGCCATGCTGACAGCAGCCATGCTGATGCCACCAGAAGGACAGCTCTGTACTGCACCAATTGCACCTACAGCTCTCACTGGGCACATGCAGGAGATGGACCAGCATCCTAGCATGGGATCCACTGTGGACAGCAGGGACAGCAGCACCAATTACAAGTTCATAAGTTGAGAGATCATAGATAATTCTGGAAAGATGTCTGAGTAATAAATCTTCTCTGTTGTCAGGTCCTTTTAGTCATCCATTCATTCATTTAATGGTGAAATCTCAGACCGAATCTGTATTTTACCTCTCGAAAGGAAGTAAAAGCAACGGTTCTAATATTTTGGTTGTGATTCCATTGGTTAGAAACATTCTGTGTACAATAGTTCTAAAAATGTAATGTTTTTCCTCTAAGAATCAAGCACTAGATTCTTAACATGGACATAGTGTCTTTTTCTAGTAGGACCTACAGAAGACAGTAGGACCTGTTTGAAGACAAATACCTCCTTTTTTACATGTACTTTATAGCTCTCCTGAGATTTCCATGCCCATTTTTTTCTGTAATCTCAATGAGGCCATCAGACTATTTACTTCTTACTCAGGTACATACAAGCAAGCTCCTGACCATCTCCCTTATTCATTATGAGGCTACGTCAGGCACTGCAGCACAACTGATGACACAGCTGAAAGCAGAAAGCATGCTGTAAGACAATTTGAAACACAGCCATACGGGGTTTTACGTAGAAGACATGCTTTTCTTGCTGTAGATCTCGCATTTAACAGTAACCAAATTTCAAGTGCGTGCCTGTACAAAGTGCCTCCCAGCTCCTGGGACCCATCTTGTGAGGGAGCGAGCTACCTGCCTTACACAGCACCTGTGGGTGCTCTGGTGCAGCTGCTTCAAGCAGGAGCCCTGATTTCCTGTGGGTGGGTTGAGATGGAGGAGCAGGGTGGGCAGCAGCTGCTGCTGTTTTTCCCCTTCGGCAGGCCTCAAGGCATGGGTGAGTGGGAATTTTCCCTTGGTAAGGGTGTTTGCAAGAGCTTTTTGGGGTCTGCTTCTGTTCCTTCCTCCAGCTGAATGAGGTTGTCTTCTTTATAGTGAGTTGGGATTTCTGCTCTTTTCTGCTAGGAGAAAGATAGTCAGGCCCTACTCACCACTGCTGCTTGCTGTATGCAGTAGGTGTAGCAGTGTCCATCCAGCCTGCTTCTGAGAAGATGGTTCTCAGGTAGCAACTGCGTCCTCTTTGTCAGAGAAGCACTTTGCTATGCTTCTGCTACTAAAGAGTACAGTGCAGTGTGGAACAAACTGCAGGGCCTTGATTGCCTCTGACTGATCTGTGCGAAGTCTCACTGTCTGTCTCAGGCTGGTTTATTAGGAAATCCACTCCTGGTTAATTTCTGAGGAATTACTGGTCATGGGTGAACCAAATCTCAACCGAAAAACTTCATTTCAGTCTTTAAATTCTGGGTAAAATCAAAAAGAATGTTTATAAAGAGACCAGTGGTGGGCTGAAAAAATTGTTTTTCCTGGTCTCATTTTCCTTTCTTCCCATTTTAATGAGGGGAGAAAAAAGAAAAGTTGCAACACACTGCATTAGGATTACCCTCCAGCAAATTTTGTTTTAGTGAGCTGTAGGTGGGTATAGAAACCTCAATGCCTGAATCCCACGGCAAGTTCAAGGCTGTAGTATTTCTTAATATTGCACATATGAGATCGCGTGTAAGTAAAGAAAGTCAAGCTGTTTAACAAGCTGAAGTCTTGCAGCATCTCTGTATTTAGTATGGAGATTACTTGCCTATGTGGTATCCCTCAACTTCCTTTCTTCTGTCAGAAGGCTTACAAAAATTAGATATCTGTATGCAAAATTTGTTGAAAATTAAACCATTGTTTTCTTTCCTCCTCTTTTGAAACATAACACCTATGATCTTAGTAAGTTTTATAATTTTCTTTCTCCAACCTTTCTAGTTGCCTATGTAAATACATAGCCTTATATTTAGAACATTTTGACATATTTTTTAGGTGCTGTGGCTGTTATTTCTACAAATGCTTTAATGGAGAAGTTGTATCTAAAATATCAACAAAGACCATGGACTGAAACTCTGAAACTTGTCCATTTTTGCATGGTAAGAATCTCAGATTAGGTGAGAGAAGGATAACTCACGTTAGAGCAAGTTGCCAAGACAACTCAATTGCTTATCTTACAAAAACAACAGCAACAAAAATTTTAAGCACCTATTAAAGCTTGGCTTCTGATTTAACAGTGATTAAAAAGCACAGATTTGATGCTCTAGTAGTTGTTTCTTGCATTACTTTAACTCTTCTGGGATTTGTACTAGTAGTCTGATACTTTGATAATGAACTTCCATTCATTATCACTACTGTATTCGTAGTGTGTAAAGACATCTTCTTATTTATAGAATTGGGAGAAAAATCATTTTTGAGAAACTATCCTAATGTGCTGAAGCTGCTATTTGGAATTCTTTCTGCTGTGATATTCCTTAAATCAGTACATGCTTCTTGCCTTTCCAGTGGTTCACGATATATAAGAATCATCTCTGTAAAAGGCAGCTTACTGCAAGTGCTATGAGTGTAATATAAAAACTTGTTTCCATGCTTCTTCATTTTTAATGCTTGAAATGCTTTATTAATGCTTAAGTGTTCCTCTGAAAGTGATGTCCTGACTTTGACGATGTTGAAAGCGTTTCAGCACTGGCTGTTCTTTGTTACTTGAAATGTGAAGGAGTTTTTCAGGGAAGAATATGGAGAGTTTACTTGCTAGTTCAGCCATAACTTATACCCTGACTCTAACCAAGTCAACCCATAGTGCCTACTGATCTCTCACTTTCACTCATTCCTTCTAAAACATAAACCTATGCATTTTCCTGGTTGATCTCTAATAGCATGGTGAAAACAGTTTATGTTAGGAGACACAGCCTTTACTCAGCCTAAAAGCAAAAGGATGGAAAGTGGTTTTCTGCACCAAAGGCCTCCAATATGTGACTACTGCACAGTAGAGTTTTCATGAATCCACTCTGCACTGCCCCTCTAGAGAGAGCAACAATCATAGCTCACCTCTGTGCTTGATGAAAAGTACTGTTTTGTTGGACTGCGCATCAGAGTTCTGAAATTTGCAGGCAGTGATGTGCTTCTGTGGCTGTGAATTTAAGGGGTCTTTGTCTCTTGTTTTCCCAAATGTGCTAGGATAAGCCACGTCCATCTCCTGTCAGTAATGCTCCAGATGGTCCGCTGCTCTCATGCATGGAGAAGTTGCAGAGGACTCTAAATGGTAACAAACTGTCAGTTATCTCAAAGACTATTTTTTAGCATTCTTTCCCAGTTCAGACAACTCTATGATTCTCTCTACTGGCAATGTTCTGCATGATGGAGCCAAACGTGCAAACACAGAGGTGGATGTGTTACAATACTTGTGACTCATCTTTGTAGCCTTCAGGCTACAGCTACTCTTGAAGTCTGAGCAGAAGCTCTACTCAGCACAACGCTCGTTAATCACAGTTGTCATTAATAACAAGAAGTCATGCAAGAGATATCATTTTTTTTATTACCTAAATCACCCCATTTAGAGCAGGATAATAATGTTTCACTTTTCAATCATTGCAATTTAATTAAATAACATTTCCTTTATTACAGATAAATCTTTGTTTTCTGTGATGAACAGATTGGAATGTTTATCCAAACAGAAAGGGTAAGTTTGTTTATTAATAAATGCAAATGAGCAAGCAGGGCCCCATGTCCAGTGAGGAATACCATCTGGATGGCTTATCAACTGCATTTTTAGCATGGTGTTTTTCTGGGATGCATCACTTGGAGTGGACTTAACTGCCACTTTCAATTAGCCTGTTATGGAGGAGGTTGAGTGAACAGAGGGAATTCATATCTAGGTCCCAAAGCTGCAAACTGAGATAAACAGTTTCCAGCAAACTGACACGACAACGTAAAGAACAGAGAAAGGTTATACTGCCTGGTTGGATAGTTTTTAGAAGCTGAGCCAAGGAGAAGTTATTTTTAAAGCATCCTTGGTGTCTCTTCCCACGACCAAGTAAACTATACTCATTTCCTTTTTTCAAGTGACATTCAGATACACAATTTTTTTTTTCCCCCTCTCTCCTTAGGCTTAATTCTCATGTTAGCCCCAGTGGGACTGCCTGCTACATAACCTCAAACATGTTTTATATAGAAGTACAGCTGGAGAAGGATGGGAGGGTGATGGATGTAAAGCTGGCTCATCTTGGAGAGGCTCCTGTGGTAAAGTTAATTTTCTGGCTGTCACCTCCCTGTAGTTTCTCACCTGGCTTTCAGCTATGATATCAGAAAGTCTTCAACTTCCTTTTGGTTTTGTCACACCTGGCAGTCTCTGCATGACACTAGGTGCCCCATTAGGCATCCAAATCTCTCACCTAAACTTACAGCTCAGCACAGATGTTAATTACTGTAGCTCTAAATATCAAGGTGAAACTCAGCTGACATGCCCAATTTCCAAGAAGTTTCTGGTACCCTGCATAAATACAGGGTTATAAACTATTCTCCTACCAAGATGTAGTGCAATATATGCTAGTAGTGCAGATGTCTTTGAATGTCTTGGAGCTGTTACCAGAGATTGTTTTTCTTTCTTCATTCTTTTTAAGTATATGCATTCCTGCTAATAAGGATCTTTTTTTCCTGCAAAATTTTTAAGATACTCGCAAAATACCACTCTGCAGTTCATAGCATCTTCTGCAGTTGTTTGGTGTTACAAGTGAGCATTTGGATCACAGTTAAAACAACAAGCTGGTGCAGACTAATTGTCTGTGGGTGGAAGCATAAACTATGATCAATAGCCCTGTGCTAGTTAAATAGAATGACTTGAAATTCCTGGAAAAAAAGGGACCAAACTAACTCCAAGTTAATGTAACAGCACGAATGCTTACTAATAAAAATCATTTGATGCTGGACAGTATTACTAGGGAAATGCATAGCCAGGGAATTTTAGCACAGTAACTGCCTATTAAAGGAAAAAAACTGGAAAAGGTGCATTTTTTTTTTCCCCTGAAACTAATATACCAACAAGTTATTTCAGCTAATTATATCCTCTTCCACAGAGTTCTTGTAGTTGTAATAATAATATAATGATGTTAATTTAATATTTTTAATAATTTATAATTTAATAAGGAATAAGCTTATCATTATCAGTGTGTTTGTCAGAGGTGTTTCACGAATGATGATAAGAAACACGAAACTGTTCTCTCCTGTTCTAGATTTGTGATGATTTGGTGCAACACCTAAGGTAAAGAACTGTGTGTGGAGTCTCTTCTGAATGGAAAGGAATTCCTGAGGCTTGTTTCCCTGAATGCTGTGGAGAAGTCAAGGCTAGGATGGTTTTAGTGCAGTAACACAAATGTTTTTGTAGCAAAACAATGCAAGAATCTGGAAACAATAATTGGAGTTCAGAAAACAACAGACTGACACCTTTTATGGGATTTTATGTGGGAGGCTGGTTTCAGTGCTCCACTTTTGAAGGCTGATACTGTTATTTCCAGATTACAATCTGTAACTTCAAGGATAACATAGAATTTTAAAAAGATGCTCCGAACTTTACTTTTTTCTCAAGTCTTTTCTTTAAAATCAGCTAAATTGCATCTGCTGCTGTGGGTGGTAGAGGGCAACATTGTGCAGTGCTACACTGGCTCTAGCTGCCAGATGAATGTAGCTGTTGAATACTGGTATTTTTGTTGGCTTCAGGAGGAAAAAAAATAAAATAAAATTACAAATCAGGCCTGCACGTTACACATCAAATCAGAAGTTCCCCAGACAATCTTACCAAGATTCCATATTTACTAATAATGAATATGTTTAAGGAACTGTATTCCTCTTTAAATATCTTGGCAGAACATTTGAAAAGGAAGAATCATGATTGATTGCATATTTTATTTCTCTTTTATGTGTGCCTGGAATGCATCACCATTTTTTTTTCTAGTCCTCTTTTTTCATAAATGAAGTTACATTTGTTTTTATAGGTGTAAACAGCTGTCTTGGAGCTTTAACTTGCATTTTTGTAGGTTTTTGACTCCTAGAGGCATTAACTGCCAGCAGTTCTGTTCTGAGTGATGGTAGATAGTACTCATAAAGCCAGTGGTAACTACTTGGCAGCACTGTTGTTTTTGAGAGGAAATGACATATAGTGCAAATATCACTTCTACAGTGCCTAGTGCAATATTTCAGTTGGTCCTAAGACACAGATTGGCACCATGTGTGTACCTGTACCTGCATGCCTGCTCCCCCTTTTTCCCCCACTTCCCAAACCAGTTGGAAAGTCATAAATGAAGTAGAGCAACTTGCTTACTTTTCTGCGTGGGAAGGATTTGTCCTAGTGTGAAAGTCCAGCAGGTTTTACTTGGTCTGTCTATGGCCACGCACTGCAGCCCTACCTGCACACAGAGAGTGAAGGTAAGCCTTCAGCATGGCTCACTGCAGGGAGAGTTTAGCAGGGTGCTGTGAAGTGCAGTGTTAATGCAGTCCTTGATATTTTGATGAAAAGAACACTGTATGAGTGCACGGTGTTAGGGAAGTGTTACTAGATGAGTAGCTTTATTGGAACATCAGGGAGAGTGCTTGCAGCTGATGAGCTACATCTTGAGCTGTCAGATTTGTGTATCATGCACACTTATTGCTTTCAGTAATGCATATTTAAATAGTGTCAGCTATAATTACATTGCTTTTTGCAGCAGGGCCAAGGATTTACATTTCCTGGTATCTTCTAAGAAAACTCAAAAGCAGTACAGTTACGTGCCAGATCTGATAAGAAGGGAGACTGTCGTTGTTTCAAACGATGCCTTTTCTAACAAGTTAGGTATAAAAAACTTACTATCCATCTCATTAAGTGGCATGGTAGTAACTGCTTTTTATTGTTAGGATGAAGAATTATGACGCATTTGGAAAGATTCTAGAAGACCTGTCAAATCTGTATCAAATTCCAGGAAACAGGTTGCAACTAATTTTTACTTGAAAGACTTAAAATCCATAGTCTAGCTTTTGTGTACTTACAAGCACAGTAATGCATCTTCTCTCTCTCCCAGTGAAATGAAAGCAAAGGCTTACCTTGCCTTGCAGTCCCTTGAAAAAGATCTTTATTCAATGTCTCTTCTACACAGGTAACTTGAAGTCTACTCCTTCCTTCCTTTCCCTTTATTTCTACCTCCATCCCTGCATTTTCTAAAAAAACAAGGCAGCTGATCTAATTATAGAGCAGGATGTGGAAAACTAATGAATTTTCTCCCACTGGAAAGCTGGAAGACTTTTTGTGGTTTGCCAGCCTCAGGGACACCAAACAAGATTAGCTGCCGAACTCCTGAGCTTTATCTTAGAGCTTGCAGTGAAACTGGTTAGCCACCCAGCCTGTATGTGTGTGAACAACTGCTGGGAGAAGACAGAATGTTGTAGAGTCATTGATAATTATCATTTTTTTAATCCCATCTATTTTTGCAGCAGTAGAATATACCTGCTTTTTTGGGTATCTCTTTTTTCTCTTCAAGTTCTATAGAGGAGAATGGGTGCAGTATCTTTCCCTCTATCCTTCCTTTTCTCATTTCTCCTTTTGAGGATAAGGCTTACACATGGATGTGAACAGATTTCCCTAAACCTTCTGGTAATTCAACAGTGATTTTTTCATTCTTCTCAGAAAAGCAGAGGTGAGGGCAATGCTTTCCTTCTTGACATCACATCCTTGCTAATAATACTTCAGTTAAATAGATTATTTGTCCCTTTTATGAGATCAGTTAATGCACTGCAGAGCTTTAATGCACACCTATATAATTGTACATTTATAATCATATTTGAGGTTTGAGATCAGCTCCATTTGATTCAGTTTATCCAGGTTGTTTTGCCACTCTTTGCTCAACCAGTCATGCCTGTATTTTTGTTCCCTTCAATTCTAGTAAACAACACAACAAATTTCAAACTGAAAAAGCTGAGGTACAGGGCTAAAGTTGGAAGGCTAAGTAGTGCATGAGTGGAATGACAGTATCTTGGAAGCTGATGTAACAAATGGAAACATGATCCATTTCCCAAGAAAGCAGTGTCTCTGTTTGATTTAGGGTGCAAATTATCCTTTACATCAACCTCACCAGCACTGCAACTTAGGAAACACTAATCAAGATGTTTTGAATTAGATCACAGGATGTAAACAGAGTTACTGAAGTACTTCATGGAAAAGTAGGACACCTGGTGCCAAGAACTGGAGGTGATTATTATTATTGTTATTATTTCCTTCACTAGTTCAAAAATACTGTAGTGAAAAACCTCACTGCACTGATCTTGTTTTATTTTGTTTATTTATTTTGTTAATAGAATAGATGCTCTGTCTTAAGTGAGTGTGTTTTATGGACTTACTGGGTCTCTATTCTCTGATACTGTAGAGACATGCACCCAAGGAAGAAAGACAAGGAGGCCAGGTGGCTTATCAGCTGTAGCATTGACTTTGCAGCTGCCTAAAAGCAAAGCCATAGAGCTTTGAGGTTATGTGGGAAGCCACATTTTGGGAGTAACTGTGAGATGGCAATGGCAGCAGCCCAGATAATACTGAAGTTGCATAAAAGGCAAATCCAGTACGTTTTTATGCCTCATCAGTAGTGAGCTTCAATTGTCAGTGTGTCACAGTTCATAAAAGTACTTCTAGGAAGTGCTAACATTATGCTGTTGCTCAGCAGTATTATGAATTCTTATATTTCAGACTAGTTGCTAAAAGCTAGAAGTTCAGCTCTTAAGGCACAACAGACGGTTACTGTGCAAGATAAAACTTTTGAATGATGTCTGATGACTTCGTATATTGGGGACTAAGCTGTTAAACACTAACAAAATGCTGTGACTGAACATATGCTGTTATTAGAGATACACTCTTACGAGGTATCCTTTCTGCCCATCCTGCACTTTTCTTTTTTTTTCCTTTGCATCAAGATACCCAACAAAGTTTCTGTATTGACATGTATACTGACAGGTTTTTTTGGTTGTTTTTAATTTCTCAGGAACTCCTATGAACATCGAATTTTACATTTCTCCATATCAAATTTTGGAAGCAGAGCTCAATCCTGGTAAAGCTAGAAAACCAGAAATAATTATATAATGAGACAACTTTTTCATCATCACCCTTTTCATTAAATAAGTCATCAATGAAACTCAAAAATAAGTCAGAATTGTTACTGTGTCCTCACTCTACGTTGAAAGTTTCCTACTGGAAAACCTAGGATGTTGTTTGTTTTGCTGTCATTTCCTGTTAAGTGAAACAGAAAGATTTACGTGATGCTGCTCAGCACAGTTACAATGTTCATCAGCAAACTGCTTTCCCATTTCTTGCCTATTGATGCAAATTGAAGTGAGAGTGGTATCAAACAGAACAAATACCTAGCCAGTATGAAACAACAACTCCAACAAAGTGGTGGGTTGATCTATTCTATGGCATAGCCCAGCTACTGCTCAAACCACCAATGGCAGCTTTGGCCATTCTCCTTTCTGCACAGCTGCTGTCAGTTGAATCTCACCTTTCCTTACTGATGAGTGTTTTGTATGCATAGGATTAATCTACTCTGAAATGGGGAAAATAAGTTTCCTTTCTCCCCCAGGTTCTCTGGTGTGTGGAACAAAAGCAGTTGTAACTGTTGAAGGCACAGATTCGCTCCACAAGCTTCCTCTTTCTCCGCTGCTTGTAGACTCTCAAGCTGGAGAAGATGGGTGAGGTTCTGAGTGCCTCTGAATATGGCAATGGATTTACTAATTGCTGGCGTGGACCCCAGCATAACTTGCAAATAGGCTCTGCTAATAGAATGGATACGCAGCTTGCTCTGTGCTGTTGATGTCCTTATCCCTTGTAAGCTATAACTTGCATACCTGTGGCTTTTACTGTCTTCCCAAATGAACTTTAAAATTATTATGTTGCTATTTAACTGTCAACTGCACAGAGTTATGGGTTTATTCATAGATTTGAAGCCAGCAGAAGCCACTGGGATATTACTTAGCATCCTACTATTCAACAAGCAATACATTTCTAGAATAAATGAAGCATGCATTAAATCATGCAAAGTAGTTTGTCATCCCACCATAGACACTGACACCATATCTCGTTACTTCGGTATGAGCCAGGAGGGAAAAGCTGAAGTCATTCTCCAAAATAAGTCACTACAGACTGACTGAGAGCAAATCTTCTTGTGCCCTGTTCCTCAGTTTCCCCCACAGCTCATTTTTCCTTTCTGCCAGTGTTCACATTAAACTTGTTTTAGTACACAGGGGTTGTAGTTGTGTTTAGAATGCAAAACTTTTCTTGAAGAAGAAAAGTACAGGTCGGAGTAAACCATGAGAGATGTGATTATGGCCTTGCCCTAGAAGTCTTTGTTTTATATATAAAAATATTTTTTGTCTCTTCTTTCCAGCAGCCCTACTTTTTTGCCCCTGACTAATGAACTCAGCATGGATTTGTCAGCTTATTTTTTGTTGAAGTTCCATCAACCTATTCCTCTATCCTTATCCAATATTGAAGAGATACAGATGCTCACAGGCATGTTACGAGTGTTTTTAAGACTAAGTAATTTGTGACCATTCATTGCTTACTTGCTTTTTATTTCCACATGGTAATGTAGTACAAGTTAAAACTGGATTCTGGGGTAGAAAATCTTCTGTACTATCAACCTGTATATTAATTCTTAGAAGCCAAGGCAAAATTGTTAAACACTATCTAAAATATCTTGAAGCTGTTGATTACCATCAGCAAAAAAGGAAAGAAGGAAGGCTAATGTTTTTATGTCTGTGCATTTCCTTTAGTTTGTAAAAACTAGCTTTCATGTACAATCTAATCTAAAAGCGAATAAAAAACATCATCTGGTTTCAGGAATTCAGATTACTGCCTTGAAACTATCTCCTTTGTATGAGCTGATTATTCAGTCTGCCCTTAAAGAAAAATGCAGTGAAGATTTGTCTACACACAAATCCTGTTTCATTGTGGTGAGTATACTGCGTGTTTGACAGATGTTGCAGTGCAATGAATATACTGAAATATATTTCTCCATTAGTAAACAACACAGGCTTTCCAGAACCCCAATGGGATTTAAATACTCTTTAGGGAATAGTTCAACTTACTTAAGAAATAACAGATTCTTTGAAGCAAGCAAACTTGTCATCTGTGTTAATGAGACACTGTATTCACGGCTGCTGAAGTCACACTAATTTGTCTTTGTGCAATCCAAATACTTTTTAAAATATTGTTCAAAACTTTATCATTAATGCTTTAAAAAGAAGGAAACTTACTGTCTGGTGTGAGGAGCAGCTCTAAGATTGGCGCTTTATGGTGATAAACATGCAGCAAAGCTCTGTAACAAAAACAGGCTTCCTGATCGAATAACACTGAAAATACTGATTCTTTTTAGAGGGACTGGCAGGAAGAAAAGTGTAGAGCATTACAATTGTGATGTCAGTTACTATTTAGAGCTATGGCCATTTAACTGCAGATGGCTTCCTTTTCAAGAACTATCTTACTAGAAAAATATTTCATTTAGGCTGTTTTAGAACAGAAAATGGTGGCTAAGATGCTTTGTCTCAAATTGTCAAAGTGTATATGATAACTACAGGACAAGCTTTAAAGATCTCCTTGCTCAGAAGCACTATTTTTTGCAATTCATGGCAACAAGAGAATACTTCTTTTCCTTCTATTATCAGCATCACCAAGCTCACTGCCTATGACTTTGCTACAGAAGACAGTAGTAGTGAACTTACACCATATTAAAATCAAGTAGTGAAGTTCTCATCTATAAGACCCATAAGATAGGAAGTTGTCATTTCCATTAGGGACACATGAAAGGTTCTAACGATTCAGCAGTTCTCTAAAACACTTGATGGTTGTTTTGCTTCTGAGTTTTAAGACTTTATTTACGAATTTGTTTCTAGAAAGAGAGTTCTAACCCTAAAAAAAAATGTAATGGAAATCCTTCTATTACACAGACACGCACAGAAAAGCTCTTCTATTTTCTTATCCAGCTCTTCTTAATTTAGACTTTGCTAATTAACAGACCAGACCTGTTCTTAAAGTGACAGCTCCCCAGTTGGTATCCTGAAGTAGGCAACATAATATTCCACTTCTAATTGATCCTAAAATCACTGCCAGCATTACTTTGCTCCTGGGAGCAAAGATTTTGGTTGTGAAACATTTCTATAGTCTATGGGGCTGCTAAGAAGAATTGGACTTGAACTTCTGAGTACTTGACTTGTAGCTTTGGATATATTACACTAATATGCTTTTGCAAAATGATTTCATTTAGCTTCTGTCTATAGATTATACTTGTATTGAAATGCAGAGACACATGATGAACTTGCTAGAAGCGTGCCTTCCAAAAGTACCTTTGCTGTCAGATCATGCAATTGCTTGACATTGTTGGGCCTTAATTTCTTTGTTTTCTTATTTTCAGTGTTACAAATGTCACCGTATTTGTTGTTCAGTCTCTTCCAGATTGCCCAAAGCACTGTTATTTCATAAACAAGGGCTCTGAAAAATCAAATTTAGCAGGAGCCTTGGTGAATAAAATCCCATTTACCCATCCGAAGTGTGTGCCTGCTGTAATAGAGATTCTTCGACATCAAGTGGCATATAACAGTCTTATTAGCAGCTGTGTCTCTGACAAGTGTATAAATGAAGGTAAGTTGTGTGGTTGGAAGTAATGACAGAATATGAGAGGAACTAACTTCTAAACTGGTTGTCAACAGATTTACTACTCCCTTGCCAAAGCTGTCATTACTTGCAGAGTATTTTAAATGATCAAAAATCCTTAGTTCTAGTAATGTACTCTGAATATTAAAAATAAATATCTATATTTTTTAAATCTCCTAGAAAGATAAAATATGTTGCTAATGTAATTTGATTCTATTGCAGTATTTGTAAAATTCTGACATGTAATTCTGCCCAGAGTCCAGGCTTAATGGGGAAATACCACTAAATAGTAATTTTATTTTTAGATGACTCAGAACTGCTTTACTTTGAAGTGACACCATACAAGAACACCAGCTTTTCTGTCTTCTTCATTCATCCGATGAGAGAGAATTTAGCCTGTGGTATGTGTGGAATAATTTGTATTATCCTTTTTATTTGGCTGACAAGGAGCTCGGTTTTATTACAACTCCTGCACTGTCCTCTCAGTTACAAATTCTGCAGGCTCCCCTTGATGGTGTGCAACTCCTTGAAAAATACTAAGTAGCATTTGTTTGTAGTTGTCTTAAGTGTTCTGTACTCAGGATAAAAGGGAAAGTAAATTCAAACGTTCAAGTCTGTCTTACTCTGTCTTGACCTGCAGTTAATTAACAAACTTTGACATTTATTACTGATCATTAGTATACAAGGAAAAACAAGTCTTAAGCAAGAGCGTTGCTGCAAGCCCCCTACCCACTGGTTTCAGTATTAACTCTCTTGATGCTTCCAAATCAGATAAAAATAAGATCGTTTTTAGTTTAAAAATATATATGTATATGTATATTTTGAAATACTCATATTCTGTTCTTGCTTAGTGACTATTGATGTTGTAACCTCCAGAGAAGTCCAATGCAGCCTTCATTTACATCCTCAAGATCCAACTCTAAATTCTAGTGATGGCTTTATATCGAGATCTGTGAAGTGGTAAGTAGTTTTATTTCCTGATAGTTAGAGTGATTGTTATGTGTCCATTAAATGGACATATAACCAAGTCCGTGCAAATATCACGTGCATTAACAATACCATCAACTCAGCTGATCAGAAAAATTCCCTTTAAGAATAAGTTTTAAGAGTGAGAATGAGTTACTTTAGTTTTTTAAATATTTCTTCCAGAAATAAAAAAAAAAAATCAATAATGATGAAAAGTGTTTCTTTCTAATAGAAAATTTGTGTGTGATGTAATGGACAGAATAGCATGGAAAGGACTTTTTCCACATCTATCTAAGATCAAACAGTGCTGCTTTTTTCAAAAGATGAGGCTACAACACTGTCTCTGGCTTGCTTTCTGAAGTTAAAATTCCAGGAAAGGCCAGTTGATGTGGTGTATGAACATATGCAACACAAAGGGCTAAGAGCACTAATTCATTCTGCATAGGTTAGCACACAACTATTAAACACTTAATGACAGCAAGATCAATGCAGCCTGGATTTTGGATTTGTTTAGTTAGTCTGCCTTGTCATAAGACACTAGATACTATTCTTGGAACTACATATCTCTACTGATAGAATGGGGAAAGAAACACAAAGACCTGCCAATAGAGATACTGGTTTAGAGAAGAAAGGCTCTGTACCCGTCTCATACAAAACACAAAAAGTTACAATTAAAAAAAAACCTCAGTGAAAATGAATATATTTCAGTATCATTACTTCAGGTTTTCATTTAAAACACCTTTTTTGACCTCAACCTCCCACTTTTTTTTTTTTTTTTTTTTTTTGTAATCCAAACCTCTTTGTGCTGGTAAACATGAAAGATGAATCTCTTGAATCTGTTGCATCAGCATAGGTTTCCAGTATGGCATATGTAGGTATCTTGTAGTTACAATGTAATGCTTCTTAGGTTGTACAATGCAAAAAGCAGCTTCTTTCACAAAGCATATGCTTTACGTGTCAGCCACAGTTTAAAAAAAGAAGTACTAATTTGAAGAATGGATGAAGTCTGTAGTAGTGATTAATGTTTCATTTCCTCCTTTAGCTGCATGTCAGTCCCAGTTGTCATGAGAGCTATTTTCAGGAACGCTGCCAAGGTGGGAGCTGATAGTGAAACACAAGGCACAGAAACAGACACAAAACAAAAACCTGAACTGCAGCGTGAGCAAATTATTGATTCTGATAGTCTTGAAGAAAGTCTTCCTGTAGCTGGACAGCAAGATCTGGTTAAGACAAATAAGGAAAGTGTTCCAGACAGCCCAGAACAAAGACTATCTACAGCCAAACTGGAAACTTCGGGTGATGAAATGGAAAAAAGTAATGCTACAGTCAAAACAGAAACTTTGTCCAGGGTGGAAGGAAATAATTCCACAGCTAGTACAGAAGCTGTAATGAAAGATAAGTGAAATGCATCACACAATCTATTGTTTAATAATCAAGCAACAAAGCCATACATTCCCAAGCATAGCTTGCTTTTGCAGTAGTAGATGGAAAGAACTTGGCAAGCTTGCTGTCTACTTAATTTCTGAATGGAGTTTCCTGTTTATGCACTACTAACTGCATTGAAATAATACTCTTCAATTTGCACTTTTTCGCTGGTAACCATTGGTTTTGTTTCATCATATTCTACTACAGGATGGAAAAAAAATCAGTTTGATTTACGTGATGCAGTTTATAACATAATGCATGCACTATTAATAAAAAGTATTTATCAATAAGTTAAATAAATTGAGAAAAAGCTGTTTGAGCAATTCTGTCATATATAACATATGCAAATAGCCTTATTCAATTCCACTATCTCAGTAACAAGTTCAGTATGAGATTTTTAATTGCAGAGTTAATTTTTTTGTTGTTGTTGTTCATCTAATGCAGAAAGTGATACTGAATTGCAACCAAACTTAAAGTATAACAACTCCATGGCAGGATAATAGCTTTTATTAAAAAATTTACATTATTTTTTCCAGACAATCAGTTCTTAATTCTTGCTTCCTGGTTTTGGCTTCAAAGTATAAAACTACTCTGTGCCTGTTGTTGTTTTAGTTCTAGTTAAGTCAGTTGTTCAAAAATTAAGTTTTTTCTATTTTGTCTGAGACATGGAAGAAATTTAAAAGCAAAATAAAGTACATGAACTCTTGACTTAGTGATTAATTACTATAAAACAGAGATAGGAAATCTCTTCTTTGTGAATATCTAACCAGAGGAATTTGCAGCTGCAGTTTAGGCACATGTATAGGAACCATTAGGTCATGGTGAAAGGGTGTAGCCAGCCCTGGGAGCACAGGTGGAAGCAATTCACTTGGGTGACTGGAAGGGGTTGATCATAAGGGTCCACCCCTCCTAACTTTATTTAAGGGCTGGCAGCCCCAAGGGAAGCATCACTACCTGAACATCACCCTTTGGAATGCTTGGTGAGCCCTGATCCTCAGAAAAAGGTAAGGGATTCCTTCTTTATTACTGCTACCTTTCTTGGGTGATCCAAAACTGGTTTAAAGCAACTATATCTGCTGCCTCCTATCCTTACAGCAAATAAAAGGAAAAGAAATCAAATACAGAAAGTTGGAACAGAAATACAAAGTTCTTAGATATGTGTTTGGCTAACCATGTTTTCAAGAGATGGTGAATAAACCTGCCTTCCTTCTAGAGCTGGAGAAATACACTGTAAACAAGAGAGACTTCAAGATTAAGGGGCTAGCAAATAAATACAAAAATAACACAAAGGCATTCATTAGACTAGAAATGTGTGATGTGGTCTAAAAGGGTAAGAGTAGTCAGGTTTCTGTTAGAACAGCAAAACAGCAGTGCAAGTTTGACGTTTGAAAATAGTGGTGTGCTTTCAGCAAAAGTGAAATAATTAGAACTGTAAGAAGAGGGGGAAAAAAAACACTGTGAAAGTGGGCTACACAGTGATTATAAAAAGGTGAGAGAAGAAATCTGGCAAAAGATGAAAAAAATTTAATATAGTAACAAGGGGAACTCCTGGCACACTAGAAATCACCAGAGCCTGTTCTGTTTTGTATGGTTAGTGTGTAATCAACAGCAGACCATTTTGGAAGACTAGCTTGTCCACAGCACTGGTCAGGTTTTTTTGTTTTTTTTTTTTGTATAGTAGAAGATGTTGCTTGAGGGTCCTGCTCGGTTTTCAGATACCAATAGATAAAATGAGGTGAAAGGACAGATTTTGACATAGATGAGAGACATGATAATAAATCATTGCAGAGCTTTAAACATCACCTCCTTTTTCTGTGGAAGATACATTTCTGACCGAAACCAGCTTTTTGGGGGGGCCAAGAAACAAAGCATGGTAAGACTTACAACCTCTGCTTGGAAGCATCAGATCAGACTTCCCTAAAACGAAGCCTGGACCCACAGAGTGAGAATCCAATCCAGCTGAGATAACTTGAAATAGCATGACAGAAGAGCTAATGTTCCAGTTGCTGGATGTGATGGAGTATATCCAGTGATAAGCCTAGTTGTTCTACCAACCAAACAGTTTGCTTTTTAACCCAAGCAAGAGTTGACTTGTCAGGATCTGTAAAGAGTTTCTCCCTGCTGCAGTCAGACTGCGAGGAACCATCCTCACCATTATTTCTACAACAATGTTCACCACATCCACCAACATGTTCATATTTTTCAGCGTTAGCTTCACTGCACTCTGTTCCAGCTGGAGCTATATGACTAAGGTCCATGTCCTCAACAGAATCTAAAATGTCTCCAACGTTTGGTTGTAGCTGAATAGAATTCAGAGACTTAAGTAGGTCTTCTTCATGCTTTCCAACGACCTCTAGAAGGTTATTTATCTTTCTTAAAGCAGAATCATGTCCATTAAGATGACACCAGGATAAGAGAGCACTGAAAATTGAAGAAGAAAATTAAGTCAATGCATGTAGTTACACAGATTTCCAGCTATTGAAGGGAGAGAGCAATGTGACAAGAAATCTGCACTATACGAAAACTTCTGAACATTTCATTTCCATTTCCTGGGAAAATTGTGTAGATGAAATTAATTTCCTTGAGGAAAAGAGTGCATCTGCCTAAGGGTAGGAATGTCCTACAGAAGGATCTGGACAAGTTGAATCAATAAGCTGAGACCAATTGTAAGACAACAAGACCAAGTGCCAGATCATACACTTTGGTCACAACAACCCCATGCAATGTTACAGGCTTGGAAAGTAGTCCAAGTAGAACAGTGGCTGGAAGGCTGTGCAGAGGAAAAGGATCTGGGGGTGTTGTTTGATGCTCAGTTGAACGTGGGCCAGCACTGTGCCAGCATGGCCAAGAAGGCCAACAGCATCCTGGCTTGTATCAGAAATAGCTCTGATGAGGCTGTACCTCAACTACTGTGCTTAGTTTGGGCTCGTCTCTACAAGAAAGACACTGAGGAGCATGCCCAGAAAAGGGGAATGAAGCTAGTGAAGAGTCTGGACCACAAGTCTTATGAGAAGCAGCTGAAGAAACTGGGATTGTTTAGTATGGAGAAGACCTGGGGGAAAGCTTATTACTCTTGACAGCTACTTAAAAGGAGGTTGTTGCCAAGTCAGGAGCTGGCCTTTTCTCCCAGTGATAGGACTGAGTTTGCATTGTGCTAGGGGAGGTTCAGGTTGGGAATATTTATTCTCTGAAACAGTGGTGAAGCACTGGAACAAGCTGTCCAGCGAGGTGCAGGGATGGTGGCACCTCAAGGGGTTTATGAAATGTGTAGATGTGGTATTTAGGGACATGGCTTAGAGGGCAATGCTGGTGGTAGGTGGATGGCTGGAGTCAGTGATCTTAGTTTTCAACCTCAATGATTCTATGAATATTAAGCTTTCTGATGTAGGCTCAGTTCTTAAAATAGAACAGAAAGAGCGTTTTTAAGAACGCTCTACACTCGTGTATGTAATTCATAGAATCATTTGATTTGGAAAAGACTGTTAGAGGTCATTTAAGCCCCTTCTGCTTGGGGATCAGGTGGCTCAGAGCCTCATCCAGCCTGACCTTGAACATTTCCAAGGACAGCATCCACCACATCTCTGGGCAACCCATTTCAGTGCTTTGCTACGCATAGTCTAAAAAACTTTTTCCTTATATCCAGGCTAAATCTCCTCTCTTCTAGTTTGAAATCATTTCCCCTTGTCTTATCACAACAGACCCTGTTAAAAGAGTTTGTCCTTTCTTATAGCCCCCCTCGAGATACTGAAAGGCCGCTATCAGGTCTCCCTGAAGCTTTCTCTTCTCCAACAATCCAAACTCTCTCAGCCTGTCCTCAAATGAGAGGCATTTCATCCCTTGATCAGTTTTGTAGCCCTCCTCTGGATTTGCTCCAACAGGTTCATGTCTCTCATGTACTCAAGACTCCACATCTGGACACAATACTCCAGGTGAGGTCGCACCAGAGTAGAAGGGCAGGATCACCTCCCTCAACCTGCTGGCAATGCTTATTTTGAGGCAATCCAGGATACAGTTGGCTTTCTGGGCTGTGAGGACACACTGCTGGCTCAAGTACAGCTTGACGTCTTCCAGTAACATCCCCCTGCCCCTGTCCTTTCATCCCCCAGCAGTACTGATAGTGGAGGTTGTCATGACCCAGGTGCAAGACCTCACACTTGGCTTTGCTGAACCTTATGAGGTTCACCTAGGCTCACTGCTCAAGACTGTCCAGGACTCTCTGGATGGCATCCTCTCCCTTAGTCATGTTGACTGCACCGCACAGCTTGATGTCATTTGCAAACTTGATGAGGATTGTCTTGATCTCACTCTTGATGTCATTGATACAGTTAAAAATTGAAGAGAACAGACCCAGTACTGACCCTACAGGATCTCCATCCAGAGATTGAGTATGATTGCACAGCCAGTTCCTCGTCCATCAAACAGCCCACCTCTCGAATCTATATCCTTCCAATTTAGAGGGACAGATGTTATGGGGTACTGTGTCAAAGGTCTTATAAAAGTCCAGATAAAGGACATGAGTGGCTCTTCCCTTGTTCACTGATGCGAGTTATGCCATCATAGAAGGCACTGTTTGGTCAAGCAGGACTTGCCCTTGGTGGAGCCATGCTGGTTGTTTTGTATCACATCTCTGTCCTCCATGTGCCTTACCGCTGCTGCCAGGAGGATCTGGTCCATTATCTTCTCTGCTACAGAAGTGAGAGTGACAGGCTAGTAGTTCCCTGGGTCATTTGTATCCTTCCTAACAACAGCTGTGATGCTACCTTTTTTCCAGTCACCAGAGATTGACTGACATGACTTTTCAAATATCATTAAGAGTGGCCTATCAACTACATCAGCCAATCTCCTCAGGACTTTGGGATGCATCTCAATGGGACCCATGCACTTTTGGATGTTCAGGTTCCTCAAATGGTTGCAAACTTGATCTTCGCTAACAGTGGGAGGGAGATTGCTCCTCCAGTCCCCACCTTCCAATCAATCCACTCAAAGGGTATGTGAAGAGCAGCTGACAGTGAAGACTGAGGCAAGGAAGTTGAGTACCTCAACCTTCTCCTTACTTGTTATTACCAGCCTGCCTGTACACTGAAGATATTATGCCTTCCTGCATTTGTATTTCCTGTATTCAAAAGCTGAGCTAAGACTTCTCATGCTGCTTGCTTTGGATAGACTTACAAAGCACTTTTTAAAATTAAAAGACAAACGAACAAAAAACCCAAGCACAACCACATATGCACACGCACCCTCCACACACACCTTCCACATGGACAGACTCTTTAGAGGTTTGTAACTTACTTCAGGGTCCCTCTGAATTGGCCATATGTAGCCATCAGCACAGCACCTTGTCTATAACCTTGATTGAAGCCTTTCTGGAGTGCAAGTTCTTTCCCAGCCTCAACACCATCTCTATAGCCCTCCTATAACAGAAGTGGTGAAACAGGCTTTTCACAATGTGCAGAATGAACCAACGAACATTTCACAAATATAAAAAACCTAAAACAAGCACCCAGTCTCTTAGATCACAGCTTATTTTGATTTGAACATCCCACTCAGCTATGCCACTGCCAAACCAAAACACATTTTTTGCAGTGCAATATCATTTACTGTTAATGCTGCTGATCTGTTAACATGCAGTTATTTTCTAAACAGATCTCCATCTAGGTCAGAAAATAAGGAAAGTGTTTTGCTGTAGACAAGTCCCAACTCCCTTAAAAAAATTTCCTTGGAGAATTCAAATTTATTCTTCATCCTCTAATCACCTTACCACACAAAGTAGAATAATTCTCAACTCTTTTCAAGTTATAAGAATGAAAACTTCTATTTGATCATGAGAAAATAAAAGCAGTGGCCTTGCTACAGAAATAGCCAAGAATATTATTTTGCCCAACATAGAGCTCTGTCTTCAAGAGATTTTATGACTTTTGCAGTATCTACTCACAAAATACCAGGGAAATTCATTTAAGAATGATAAGCAGCCCCTTAAAAAAGTCAGCCTTTATAAGGGACAGAGATGCAGGCAATTCTTCCTTGGAGAATAATATGGAAGTTGTTATATACTTCCTCACCAACAGCATGCACAAAAGCTTCCATTTATGTTCTTCAGCCTACTGATGTTCATCCACAAAATAAGCCCTAGCGAGTCCAGTCTGAATGAAAACATCTGCCAGAGAAACCTAGGTTTATGTATTTGTTTTGTTCTCTGCTTTCATAAAATGCATTTTCCACTAAGAGAATAAATAAGCCAAAGATCTACTCAGACCCTTAGTACTTCTCACCAAATATTAAAAAATAATAATAACCCACCAAGAAATATCCTGTATTCTTTGTAAGCACTGATTAACCTACAAGTATGAAGCAAATGGGTTACATGAGAATTTAACACTGTCTTTTAGAAATCATATGGTTGTGTAGGGGGAATCAATGTCTTCTTTGATAAAACATTACTTTGTTCTGACAGGCTACTAAGATATAATTCCCTGCTAAGTTTTCTTAACATTCAGAAGAAACCAAGCCACAATAACTTTTGTACAGCCATTCTTAGTTTTCCCATTTAAATCATGGGATCAATCATCAAACATGCATAGCAAGATGTTATTGGTAAATCTAAAATACTTAAAAAGACTATAAAAATCATGCTTATAGAAATACCTTCAATCTTTTTTTCATGGTGCTATTCCATTCTTTCTGTACTGGATACATCTCATCTGCATCTTCATCAAATATGTCCTCATTGGATCGACTGGTTACAACTTGTACCCACGACATAGCAGCAGTGATGACACTTAACTTTTATTTATGGTGTAAAGCAAATATTGAGAAACTCTCAGGAGTCTCCCAGCTAATTACTTTTAAAAGTAAAAAATACGAGTTCTGAAGAGGTGATTATTCAACCTGTACATTTGTTTCCACATGTAAGCTGGACGCTGTTTACCACTGGAGCTCATCTGCCAAAGGAGACAGAAATTATCACTGGTAAAGCACCCTGTGTGATTCACAAGGACAATTTAAGACTGATTTCTTCCCTTCTTTACTTCTTACATCAGTAACAAACAGATGCACACCAAATTAGCATTTCTAAATGCTGCTAGTCACATGAACAGTAGACCTTTGATTTTCAGTTTCCCAGCTTTGCCAGATGCTTAACGTAGTCTTATAAATCTTGAATAAAAAAACACTGCTTTATTTTTTGTACAATTTTTTTTGTATTATTAGTTAGTTCTGATGTAAAGAGAGGAATATATACAGTGATTACTTCATCTTTTGCACTGAGAAAACCAATTACAACTAATTGGTGGAAATTCTTGCAACTCACAAAATGGTGTTTCTTGCCATTATGTGTTAAAATAGAGGAAGTGAGAGGAAATCACGCTTTTGGGCTCACCATATCCAATTTTTTACCTTGACCAAAGCTTTCAGAATTTCTGGTACCATTACACAGAGCCTTTGGGAAGGTATTAAAGCAGTTTAACAGCCGTTCTAAGAATTACAGCCCTTCTTAAACACAAAGATCACTAATGTGAACTGACTGTTTCATCAGCTGATCCCTTCCAACGTCCCACCAAGAAGCGGTGAAAACACCCAAGCAGCCACAACTTCACAGCAGCGCTTCAGGCTTGAGAAATTACTGCTTTTCAAAATATTCAACAAGACAACACGCTCGCTACCAGACGTTACATTTCCTTAAACTCCCCACAGGCTGCAGGACTGAGAAGACCCAGCCCGCTTCCGACCTGACGGCAGGCGGAATCCCCCTTCAGCCCCCAGCTGAGACCCCGCCGCCCTCAGCCCTCACCGCGCCCGCCGAGCCGCGGCGCGCCTCCGTTCGCAGGGAGCCGCCATCTTGACTGAGGGCACGCCAGCTTCACTGCCTCCGGAAGCAACAGGGGAGAGAAACCTCATCCCGGTCCGCAGCCCGTAAAAAACCGCCATCTTAACCACCAGCCCCGTGACTTCAAAGCCGGTCTGAGTCATTGGAGGCTGGCAGCCATCTTGAGTACGGGCACGGGCGTACAGCTTCCGCAAGGAGGCGGGACGGGGAGGCTGCAGCCTGGCGCCATGGAGGGAGCGCGGGCAGGGCATGGACAGCTGTTCTCAAGCTGTTCGACAGCCACTAGGTTTGGACCTTTTTAATGACAAGGGTGCTGGCAGGAGTCAAGTGTTTCGTTGTTGGCTGCTATTATAGCAGACAGCAACATGATTTTGACGCAAGTGCAACAATTGTTTTGTGTTTTTCTTGCTGCTTGCAGTATGTGGTCCATCAGCTAATGCCAATGTCTCATCATCATAAGCATAATATGCGCCAACCTTGAATTCAAATTGCGTATTTCTTCACGTTGCCAAGTATAATGAATGCTTCTGCAGGTGCCTGAGTGCACCTTGTCCAGTGAATCTCCCATAGAATCACAGAACGGCCTGGGTTGAAAAGGCTCACACTGCTCATCCAGTTCCAACCCCCTGCTATGTGCAGGTCGCCAACCAGCAGCCCAGGCTGCCCAGAGCCACATCCAGCCTGGCCTTGAATGCCTGCAGGGATGGGGCATCCACAGCCTCCTTGGGCAACCTGTTCCAGTGCCTCACCACCCTCTGGGTGAAAACATGAACTGGGCTGGCTGTGGTGCTGCACTTGCATTCACTCCCGAGTGACTACTAGGTGTCCAACCTCCTGTCCTGCAGAAGACTGGTGAAACTCACCAATGCAGAGCAAGGGACGTTGCCATGGATGACAGACAGCAAGCCCGTCACAGTGCCACAGGCACTGAGAGATGGATGATCCCTTGCTGGGACTCAGCCACAGCGCTCTATTTCCCCTAGTCCCTTTTGTTTTGCAGGCAGCCTGTTGTCCTGCTCCCGTTTCTCAGACATTCATTGGTAGTTGCATGCTGGCTGAAGAACCCAAATATGTCTCGAAACTGTTGTGTCAGGGAATGAAGCACCACTGGTGCCTCTGAATGGCCAGAATTGTGCCTTAACAGTTATTATATATGGCCACGATTGCTGATTTCCTAGCCCACTTCTGTTACTTCCACCTTCTCTGTGGTCTGCCGTTTTTTAATCCGGCAACTATGCTGAGTACAGACTGAACAGACAAGTGCAGGGTCACAGAACAGCCTTATAGCAACAGAAACCCATGAACTCTCATGACTGGTTGTAATGGCATGACTAAATGTGGGTGCTCCTGCCCTGGGCTGCTGGACCAGACCTACTTCTTCCTTATCACCTTACATTCTTTACCTTCAGCTGCTTGCTGTTTTAGAAAAGATGCATAGGTCATACCTCAGAGTCAATGTGAGTTCCCTATTTTCAGATGATCTCAGTTTAAATGTCTTATATTTACCATGGTTGATAATTCTACACACGTCTTTTTAAGATAAATCCTTGTGCGTATGAGGAGTAATCATGAAAGCTTGTATTCCCACCCCTTTCTTTTAGAAGTAGATAATTTGGTGACTCATATTGTGTAAATAGAGCAGCACTGTTGGATTATGAAGTGCACTTGCTGAAAACAAGTTAATTGTATGCTGTTGGCCTCTGCAGGGCTGCTAGCAGGGCTTGAGAGTGAGGTGTAGTGCCTCAGGGTGGGGGTGTTTTCCTAACCTGTGTGTGTTCTACATAAAGCAACATCTGTATATTATGGTGATGTTTTACAAAGACACATTCCAGAGGATTAAAACACATGAGCAATATTTCACAGGCTACAAAACTGTTCTGGCATTTCTGCAGAATAAGTACATAAGAAGAGTTATCCCCACATAGTGTGAAAAATAAACGAGGAATTGATTTGTCACTCATTGCCATTTCTCATATTAAAAGCTGCATGATTTTAGCCAGATAGCTGGCATACAAAGGTACCTTAGAACCATAAATGCCTGGCTCAGCAGTTATTCTCTGCATACCTGGAGGGTGTGTGTGGGAGGTTACAGGGGGTCTTTACGCAATTGTGCAGAGCTTAGGATTGTCAAGGCATTCCTGGAGATCATTTGGAAAGATTTTTATCAGTTTGATCTTAGTGTTAAGTTCTGCCATTAAGCAATTAACCAGCAGAGATATCCAAAAGTAGAATATATGAATGTAAAAACAGAAGCTGCACCTTTATAGTTACTACTGTGCATAATGGCTCTGAGAAAGGATTGTTGCCATTCAGATCAGTATCACACACGCTCATCTTTCAGTCATCAGAGCCTTTAACCCAACTTAAAGGAGGAACCAGTGGATTTCCTCATAATTCACAAGGACCTCTTGGGATTTCAGACTTTTTTGAAGGAAGGGTGATTGTTTACTGTAGCCAGGACTTGTGTCATGTATGAGCTACTTGGGATGATCAAATCTTCAGTTGAATGATTTCTATTATAGTGTACTGTTGTCTCTAGCAGAAGTGAGGCTTTTGAAGGGCCTAGGACAGAAAGCAATTTGCAATGAGATTACACTGTCAGTTATCCCATACTCTTTTTACTTCTCTACTCTGGCATCACATTGTTTATTGTATTGAACCAACACAGCTGTGTCTCATTGGCTCTAATTTTGGAAGTAGTTTAATCCTTTTAAGAATTTACATCTCTTTGATGGTATTTGGATGGATTTCAAGAACATTGTTACAGAATCACAGAATTACCAGGGTTGGAAGGGACCTCAAGGATCATGAATCTCCAATCCCCGTGCCACATGCACCAGCCTTCCCACCTAATGCTAGACCAGGCTGCCCAGGCCCCATCCAACCTGGCTTTGACCACCTCCAGGGATGGACGGGGCATCCACAGCCTCTCTGGGCAGCTGTTCCAGCACCTCACCACTCTCTCTGCAAAGAACTTCCCCCTGACGTCCAACCTAAATCTTCCCTCCCTCAACTTAAAACCGTTTCCCCTTGTCCTGCAGTTATCAACCCTTTCAAAGAGTTGATTCCCCTCCTGTTTGTAGGCTCCCTTTAGGTACTGAAGGCTGCAATGATTCACCCCGCAGCCTTCTTTTCTCCAGGCTGAACAAGCCCAGCTCCCTCGGCCTGTCCTCACAGGGGAGGTGCTCCAGTCCCCTGATCATCTTTGTGGCCCTCCTCTGGACCCTCTCCAACAGCTCCCTGTTTTTTTTTGTACTGGGGGCTCCACACTTGGACGCAGTACTGCAGATGGGGCCTCACAAGAGCAGAGTAGCGGGGAACAATCACCTCGCTGTCCCTGCTGGCCACCCCTCTTTTGATGGAGCCCAGGATCCCATTTGCCTTCCGAGCCGCAAGGGCACACTGCTGGCTCATATTAAGTTTTTCATCTATTAAGTTTCATAATGGGTGAGGAATAAGAATATTGAAATGTCAGGAGAATAATGGCTATCCATATTTAATAAAAAATACAGGCATTGTCATCAAGTATTGTATGATATTTCTGAGAAATTTTAAACTGTAAATCTCTCCCAAAATGTGTATTCTGTCTATGGTCAGATCTGCTGTGTATTCCAGATATCTGGCTCTTGTGTTTGGCCAGATTCTAGGCTGCTCTCTTTGAATATTTTGAAGAACAGGGCATGGATAAGCCTGCCTATATGAACAGGGACAACCTACTCATGCTCACGTGCAGCCAGTGTTGATGTTCTAATCTTGACTCTTCTGTGCATTTTTCCTTCGTGTTAGGGGTGATGGGGTTCTCTGCTACCAGCTGGCTGGTGCAGTAATAATACAGAGACGTCCTTAAGTCTTTTGCTTCCAGACCCACCACAGAGAAGGAACGTGACAAAACAGTGAGCTCGTGAGTTAATTGCAAGGTCATAAACTTAATGAGGTTTTAATATTGCAGCTCAAGCATAGGAGACTACAATGACCTTACATTAAGTAAGAGGGTTAAAATAAACCTCTGGGATCTATGTCTATTGCCAGGACATCGTAATAAACATATATTTCTGTGTTTTCCTATAACATCTTTTATTCTATATCTTAAAGTGATTTATTGGTAAAGCCCTATCACCATCTTGTGAGGGTAGGTAATACGCAGGAATCACTGTCCTGTTTTTGTGAAATAGCTTGCCTCTTCTTCAGCAACATACACTAATTTATACCCAACAGTTCAAGTCAAAATGTCTCAGTTATTGTCAGGAGAAAATGGAGGAATATGGAAGAGAGCTAGAAATTAATGAATGTATCAAAGGTAAATGTCAAACATTTGCTTCAAAGCATCACAGGAATCTTAATGACTATTTTGCCTTTGCTTCTCACCCAAGAGTTTTTAAGGGAGAGGATAGTTTCCTGCTTATTCCTTTCCCTGAACTAACAAAGCACAGAAATTTGATAGTTAAATGTTACAACAGAGTAGTTTTCCTATTTGGTTAATCACAACTATTTCAGGAACCGACAAGAGGAGAAACTTATTAAAAATTCCATCTGCCAGCTTTTACTGAATTCTAAGTGGAAATGGTTAAGCAAAAGGAGTATTTTTTTTTTTCCTCCTGCTTTCTCCAGGCTTGCTTTGAGCATCCCCAGGGAAGCCAGGCTTGCAGACCGAAAAACTACTCCAAACTACTGTATACTAAACAGAGCAGCAGGTACAGTTTATTAACACTGACAGAGTTCCCCTCCATCTGTCATTTTCTTTGGTTTGCTCCTTGGATGAATGAGGTTTGTTATCTCCAGATATATTCCATATTTTTGTCCCGAAGCTTCAATAACAATGCCATCAATTGCAAAAAAGATGGTATGGCTGAGATTAAAACAAGTTATATGTATCTAAGAGTATAATATAGGACTACCCTATGCTTGTTAGACTGTACAACAGGGATGCAAGGAAGGAATATTCTTAATTCTCAGCAGGGTAAGGTCTTCATTCAATTGATAGTGAGTTTTTTTAGTGTGAAAAGCAAAATGTTATGTCAATAAGAACAAGAAAATATAATAGATTTTACATTAAACACATTTTAGCTGTGTAGCTGAATCATGTATCTAATGAAATTGAAACATCTGACTTTTTTTATTGTCAATAAATCGGGACTCCATAGCTTGGTGACTCAGATTTCCTTTCGTTAGCTTTTTCTATATTACTGATTACATTATTTACTTTATACAGAGCTGCATTTTGTGTTTGCCTAATAATTGATTGTAATATGCCAATAATTGCTGTAAATGTAATTGGTCCAAGGAAACTACAGAATTCCATTTATGAATTTCTCCAGTGAACTGCATCTCCGTTCAAATCCCAGAGATCTTACATCACACTTGCACTGCTTCAACAGGAGAAAAATGCTCGTTCTTTTCCTTTGGCTAAGAGACGAATTGCCCTCTGTTTTATCCCTTGTATAAACTCAGGCAAATGATGAAAAACTGCAGGAATAGTAGCTGTACAACGCTGATCCAATTGTCTGAAGTGAACGGAACTGCTAGAAGGCATAAAACTTGTGGAGTGTGCTGATTTCTTTGGCATCTGAAACCACAAGAAAACAATTGTAT